AAGGGCTTTGCTGGCACGAGTTTCCCGCTGCGCCTTATCAACAAAGCTATTTGGCTCTGCTCGGCGTCGTCTGGAAGTCATACTTCCCACGGTTTCTGTAACAAGTGCGGTTGCTCAGTTCTGTGTGAGCTGTTGAAGTTGGTGGGCCTTTTTGGTGTACTTAAATTTTTGAGGCTGAGTGTTGGTATGCCACCACAGGTTTTTCTAAATCGCGTACGATACATTCTAATTAGGTTGTACCAAATTGCGCATGTATCTCCAATCCATGCTTTGTTGGTTTACCGAATCCTTATGTGGAAGGTCATGTGGTATTCTTTGCTCTTTTTGCTGGAGAAGGATGCAATGCCCAATTAAAAATGGGTTCAATTTCTGGTCCTGTCGTCGTTTCGTTAATGAAGCATCGAGCTTCCTAGTATGCCATGACATTCCTCTGCGTACATTCTTCGGCAGGACACCATATAAGATCATGATGTCTGGTTATGTGTTTATTCAAATTGCGTAGGCTAGCATAGGTAGCATTCCGAGAAGAAACGTTCGGCATGCCACCTGCGAAACGGAGAGCACTACCGCTGATTCTCTCCTGCTTTCTGCTTGTGACATGGCGATGGGCGCTATCTGTGCCAGTCAATTGAAAAGCGTTTTTATAGATGCCGTTGTGGGGTGATTTAGTGCTACGATTTTCACTACATGTATACCTGTGCTCACTTTACTTACGCCTACAAAAACAGCTTTAGTGACAATGTTGAAATACTTTATGTTACGAGTCTGTCCTCGCCTTCCTCCTTCTTGCGTCATACGTCGGATGCATACTTATAGGAATAGGCTGCACTGTCAAATGTGCATGGTTTCGCCGAATTTATCAGGAACATTTGCTCTTTTAGGCTAGCTTGAGATCAGTGTTTTCTTTTCAGATAAGAGCACTGCATTGGCAACACCTCTAACGTATCGTACATGCGCATCTTTGTTACTCTTTCGGTTTTGGTTTTTTGTAGCGGCCGTCTGTAATGGCCACTCTGACAGTTTCCTCGCGCTTTATTTGTGCTTAGCTAGGTGGTTTCTTTAAGCGCCCTCTTCCGAGTTTCAGCAACGCGCTGCAAGTGTTGAGCTGTGGGAGTTTTTAGGTTCCGCTTTTCGCTGCGTGTAATTTTCGTACGCCGTTCGTGCTTACGCAGAGCAGCGAAAACTTCGTGTTTTTTTTTGGTTCTTCATGTGGCATTTTAATTTGTTGCTATCGCATCACTGCTTTGTCGTTACGACAAAATTGCGATTTTTTATTAGCCACAAGCTTTGCTTTCGAATTTCTCGTATTTGTTTTCACAAAGAGAGACAGAGTGGCATGCGTATTCTCCTTCTAAGAAGCAGCGTTGGAACTTTTCGTGGAGCGTCCTGACTGATATGTCCCGCTTTGTTGTCCTCTATGATGCGATTATTCAGATAAAAAAACTAAAACAATTGCTTTCAGACGTTTAGTGCAACTATTCGAATGTTCCTTGAAGCGGTTTCATTGCTTGTTTTGCTGATATTCGCAAGGTGGTCGAACGTGCGCTTGTTACAAACGAACCAATCTCCTTGCAAGCGCTGTATACTTTGTTCATCAGATTGTGGCACGCTCTTCACTCCATTTAGCATGTAAGGTGAGCTTGAATAATTTATTTCATACTATTCAGTTCCTTATTGTGTTATATTGTGGTTTTCTTTGTGCGTACCTGTAAAGTTTTTTCAACAATTTGTACAGTGCATAATTGGTTACCAGTTAGTTGTCTATTTCTTACTTCGCTCCCTGTATGATGAGTGTAGATTTTTGCCATATCTAATTTTCATTCTGCTCCATGCAGAGACGTTTCTCGCAGTTGGGGAATAGGTTGAGCTGGCTCCACGTAGAAAAATGATACTCTCACAGGCATACCTAGTACCCACACCCGCAATGCAGGTGTGGTTGAGTGCGCAATTTACATTGAGCAATGAAATACTTTTTGTTCTGATTCAGTTAGCATGTTTGTAAACTCTGGCCTTTGTTCTTAGTAAGACAACGTCGTACATAAGAATAAAAATATTTTTTCCCAGAGATGCATGTCTCGGAATGTGCAGTGTGGCACAAATGCGCCTCTTTTTACTCGCTAATATTGAACAACAGGGAGCTCAAATTTGGCATATATTATCAGAAGCTGATACAAACGGCGATTTCACCGTCAATGGGTGTCGTGCATTGTTCACAACATCATGCAACATAAAGTGTTAGGCGGTGTGCATACGTGCTTCTCCTTGAAGCTATAGCAGCGTACCAAGCAAGGGCAGATATAGTACAAACTTGACATCTTCATTGGCGTGTTCTGACTTGCCTGTCTTGCATCTAATGTAGGTTACCTTTTTCTAACAACGGGCATATGCAACAGCTTAGCAGTAATTTCTTGTATCAGCAATCTGCCTTTTCAAACAAGTATTCCTTTATGACAGCAAAGTAGGCAAAACAGACTGCTATATATCACTTTAATTTGAGCAGATCTGCTTTGTTAAATAATTGTTCAGACTGATGGCAAGGTTCCAAGTCATCTTATACATAAAAATTGGACTAATTAGGAAACACCTAACCTTACAAAAGCTAGCAGTTATATTGGAAGGGAATATGTAAACAACTGCACACTTTTCCATTGCAAGTTGGCCGTGACGTGAACTACTGACCACAATGAGTAGTACTTCAATATACGTGTCCATTCATATAGCAGAGGTGTCATTTACGAATTACGTTACATTGTTCAAAAAGACTTGAAAATATCACTTACCAGTACATAAAATAAAGGAAAATAAAGTCAGCGTACATATACAAGGTAACGTGGGGATAAAGTCAGCCTTCATTTTGAAATTTTCGTATTCTATGTTTGCGCAGACTGATTGCACGTAAAAAGAGTTGCTGTTGGCTTCTATTCCTCGTTTATTAAGCCTTCGGGACTCTTGATGAAGTTACACGTAAGAACCTTGTCGCAGCATAAATATAATGGCACGTCAGCACTTAGCAACATAAGGAATGGATGAGTCGGTGAAGTTTTGCGCAAGAGCTCAAATCAATTTACACATTGTCTGACGCCCGTAGGAATTTTTTTCACGGCTTTGCAGCACGCTCATTGAAATGTCAAGGTCACGTTCTGTCTTTGCGAGTGTTAATAACATTTATTTTTTGAGGAAACGCCAGTGACGTATTGAGACATGTGTTTTGAAGCGTGTCATGAGGAACATAGTTGTGTTAATATAGGCTAACTGAATTAAAAATTGCGAACCTTTGATGAAACTTTATAACGGTCGCTTATCAGTATGTCGATTTTTTAACAAAATTTCGGCTTTGCAGAAAATTATTTGTGGTGCATGACGTGTTTAGTTGAGCAGTGGAGTGCAATATGTCTCACGGGCAACTGAGTTGAGTGTTTGTGCGTAGTACTCTAATCTTTTCAATCTCCCATATGCATGCAGCCATTACTGATGTGGCGCTGATGCATAATGGTTACTGACTTCTCTTTTCAGGGTGTTATTCAGAACACGATAGTGAAACGTGTCATTACTTAGGTAGTCACAGCTAGTTTTGACGCGGAGAAGCAAAGACTGTACAACATGTGTCTATGCTCTCCGACATCACGGTTGCCATATGCTTAAGTAAAAAAAAAGGAGGGGGAGAGCCATACCTGAAAGTGAAAGTACCCATGGCAGTTATGCTGTTTATTATTATCGCCAAACATGAAGCCAAATACCAGATAAGTAATATTGAGTACAGTTTTTGTTGTTCAACAACAAATATGATTACTCGGTATCAGCATTTTAACAAACTATGGGAACATTTTTTTTCTAAAGTTCCATGGTTTTAAGGCCTTCAAAAAGTTAAAAATAACTGAGCACATGTCGAGTTCTCTGATACTGAATCAGTATAGGTGGAACAGATAGAATACTTGCTGGATAGAGAACAAAGCTAGAATATCCCAACTAATCAGTCATCAGCAACATGAATTCTAAAAGCAGCCCATGACTGAAGCCGCCAAACGCAAACAATTAGTGGCCATCGTAGCGCTAGTCCAACGTAAAGTACTGATATCTCCCGAGACATGGCTGGTCCAGCTTCGTGACGACAGAAAATAGCGCAAAGAAACGGGGACACAAGACGAGGACACACGGCACTAGCGCCTGTGCCGTGTGTCCTCGTCTTGTGTCCCCGTTTCTTTGCGCTATTTTCTGTCGTCACAATGCACCAACAAGCCCAAATTTCGACAGTGTTGGTCCAGCTTCATTTTCTTGCGTGTGTCTGTTTTTGTGAAGTTCACTCAAGAGAGTGTACTGTGCACCAGCGTTACAAAACTGGCGCGTACCGTCATCACCGAGAGTACTGGTAGCACAAATACGCTACTTCGTCAGCTACAATTTATCCAAAATGACCTCTTATATTTATATGTGAACTTCAAAGTTCCCAACTTACCACTTTTTTAAACCACTATAGTGGGTCTAATCGACTATAGCCTGGTGAACAAACACTTCGTCATGATATCTTGGCCGGTGCACCGTACGTTGAGGGGCCTTGATGAGCATTTTACTTCTGCCGGAGGTAAAGGACATGTTGATTGACTCGCCAGAAAGCTAAAGATCAAAGGGTATAGAATGGGATTTCCTTGGCCTTTTACCAGCAAATCAGAAGAGAATTGCCCCTTCTATGCAGCAAAATATGGAAGTTCGGGGTAGCAGGAAGTTGACACTGCATTAAACTGAAACATTTGTCGACAGAGGGGACCGTAAGGTACTCAATTTTAAGCAAAGCAGCTACCAACCGCAGCCCTCTGATGAGTTGTCTACACTCAGAAGCCACTTGCTGTGGCGGAAGTAATCGACGTAACTGCGCAATACACCGTCTAGTACATAGCTGAAGGGTGGCATTCCCAACAAACTACGAAGTGTTTGAACATATTATTCTGGTAATTAGCTTTGGCTCTCGTGAAGTCAGGCTAATACGGCGTATTTTGTGTTTGCAGAGGCCATTCAGCGCCTGGACTTGGCACTCGACTTCCTGTTCTCCCGTCACGTCACTGAAATATACGAGAATTTCGTTCGGGTAAAGTATCCGTCGCTGCCAAACAGCTGACGATGCGCTCGGTGTCACGAATGACAGGAGCTTAGCTTGTGGTGTGGAGCTCATGGTTAGTTTTGATAAGGTGTTTTTTTTGCGCTTGCATGCATATTACTGATCAAATTGGCCACGTGCGTTATATCTGCATGCCCGTTTGGCTGCGTTTATTAAAGACCTGAAGTTTCAGCATTTTCTTTTTGTGTACGTGAAGTACATGAGCAGCCTTAGCTCCTTGCGCATGGTTTAAACAAGACTAAACAGAACGACGATTTTTCTCTTTATTAAAAATAGATCCTCCACTATTCTTATTTCACCATACTATCCTGAATAAAGAAAGTTGGAAAGAGAGAAAACGCACAAAAATATTATATTAGCGGCAATGGTACCTAGAAGTTCCCGCGACAAACGTCAGGACGTCCTAAACTTTGACAGCAGCTGCCAGGTCTTTTTTTGGCCGCAAAAAGAAAGAACATTATTTGATATTTGATGGTGCCGTACGTTTAACACGTTAAGTTTTGAGAAAGCTCGCTCTGCCAAAGTGGTCAAATAAGCCTGATATATAGGCCCTAAACGCCTCGTAATTTGAACTCCAGGACGTTATGCACGCAAGATTCTGGCGCAAAATGTTGAAATCAATCTGGGCTTTTTTTTTTCTTCTGTATAACTAATTACTGCGATTGTGACGACCTTAGCAATATCAGAAAACGGTTTACCCATGTAAAATTTATTCATTATTTTACCTCGGGGTCTCTTCAATTGCCATTCACAGCCAGATGATCGGGCGCCACAGTGTGATAGAATGCGGAAAATAATAACAATAACTCCTGTGCTCTAACATTCCAAAACACATTATGATTTGACGTACATTCTTGTCCTTTGCCTGATGCGTTGCTTTTCTACAACAGAGGAGTAGGAGTTCGTCATTGTCTCCCTTTACGACAACACGGTCGCTAAATAATAAAAGGGTGTGGCCAGCCGCATAAAGATTTCCTAAAATTAACCACTGTTATGAAACATCTAGCACTGCGGTCATTCAGCTACAATAGAAATGATAGGTATTACATAAACTTACTCAGCCTTCGTGCTTGCGGGCTTCGAATGCACTTGTGACTCTGTTTATTGCTGTGTCACGGTTTCGTTTCGAATAAAAAAAATAGATTATTGTGAACTTCTTGAGTCGTATTGAATTGCTGAGCCTAACAGGTAAAGGCTTCAAAATTGCTGATTGACATTTATAGCTCAATCAGCTCCAAGCTACACTAAACAAAATGAAGCTTAAATAACAAATATTGGACAAATTTGTGTACTACCCGTCTTTCACCTTGTGGCTGAAGCGCAGAACGTTGCAGGTCCCGTACACACTTGCGCCAGAATTCCCTATAGTGTACTTATAGGAAACACCACGGCCTGCTGAATGGGTGCATTTTGAATAGCTGAGTGCCTGACCAGCGCCTAAGTAGGCGCTAGCCTGACACGCAGTTTTGAGACGCTACTGCGGGAACGCTGTGCATCGGTAAACCGCGACGATGGTGGTGGTGGTGGGAAAAAACATTTATTTCAGAAAAAGTTTATTAGAGAGTGCCGACGTAGCCCATCGGCGTGCTAGAGTGGCAAGACCCTATTCCGGGACGCCAGTGGAGCTGGAAGCTGCCCGTGCGCGCTCCACCAAGGAGCGTTGTGCAGCCAAGGTAGAGCAGCCGAGCAGGTGCTCCTCCCAAGCCTCTCTAGTTGGGATAGGAAAAGGGGATGAGAAAGGGACGGGATTAACTGGGCACGATGCTACGACGTGATATGTGTCGGCGAGGACATGACAGGTCGAGCAGGTGCCATTGATTTCCGGCAAAAAGTGCCTGGCGACCGCCGGACTGATAAATGTCTTCGTCTGCAGGCGGCGTAGCAGTCGTTCGTCCGCTTTCTCCAAACCGCGTGCGGGATCCGGGTAGAGGCGGCGCGAAGCCCGGTAATAAGCCAAAATTTTGCGAAAGCGCAACAGGTTGGTATTGCCAGATTCCGTCTCGGGACACGGAGGGGCAACGGCCCGGATAGGAGAAGCGCGGGCAGCGGCATTTGCCGCCTCGTTGCCGGGCAGGCCCGAGTGGCCTGGGGTCCAGACTATACGATTGGGATGAGGGTTAAAGCGCCAAGAGGCTGCCTGTAGTAGGCTAGCCGCCAGCGGGGCAATGGAACCCTGAAGGTACTGAGAACAGGCCGAGCGCGAGTCCGTCAGGATGGTGCGTGAGGCAGGGTGGGAGGCGGCCAAAGCTATGGCAACCTCTTCAGCGTGCGTTACTGTGTCTGCTCGAAAGGAGAGGCCATCTACGTGTTTGCCCTCTGTAATCACGGCAGCCGTGAAATGACCCGAGTGGGAGGGACCCAAGACGTCCACGTACAAAACACCAGGACGATCGGAGTTTCGCGTATGAAGGGCCGCGGCGCGTGCTAGTCTACGGCCAGGATGGAGGTCGGGGTTCATATTACGGGGCAGAGGTTCCACCCATAGCTTTTGACGCAAGAGCTCTGGTACCGGCTGCAGAGGGTCTTGGTCAGATATCGGGTTAAGAACCAAGTCTGTGTAGAAGACGGCGCCCTGGAGGCGTCTACGACAGTCGATTGATTTGGTTAACGCGATGAGCTTCGCGCATCTCTGCAAAGGTGTTGTGTACCCCCAGAGCCGCGAATCGGCTGTTGGAAGTTGCAATAGGTAGGTCCAGAGCGCGTTTGTATACTGAACGAAGAAGGACGTCCAGCTGGTGCTCGTGTCGACGACGCAGGCGAAGGTAAGGCAAGGCGTAGAGGACGCGACTGGTCACAAACGCGTGGGCCAATCGGAGGGACTGAGACCCGCGGAGGCCGCCGCGCTTGGTAGAAACTCGCCGTATCATGCGGCTCACCTGTTCGCTGGTGCGTCTGAGGCCTGCTATTGTGCCCTTTGGATCCAAGGACGATGTGAGGTGAAGGCCAAGAACCCGAATATTTTGCACTGACGGGACGGGCCTGGATGGAAGAAAAATTCGAGGCGGCGGTAGCGGAGAGACTGAAAGAGGAGCCGATTTAGCTGGAGAGCACTCCAGGCCGAATGAACCTGCGTAGGTGTCCACCAGAAGGGCAGCCTTTTGCAGGCGTTCTTCGATTTGCGCTAAGGAGCCGGTGTTGGTCCAGATTGTGATATCGTCTGCATAAAGTGCGTGTTGTATTCCCTCGACCTCGCTTAGAAGAGAGGGGAGGTTCATCATCGCCAGGTTGAAAAGCAGAGGAGACAGGACTGCCCCTTGAGGTGTACCCCACGTGCCTAATATGTACGGGCCGTGTTCGGTAGAATTAAGGCGAATGAAGGTGGTGCGATGTGATAGAAAGGTGCGATTGTAGTTGAAAGTCTTCTGCCCGCAGTTTGTGGTAGACAGGTTAGTGAGTATAGTGCTGTGTTTGACGTTGTCGAACGCCCCGCGGAGATCGAGAGTGAGCACGGCTTTATCGTTATGGCGCATAGTAGTCGGCTCTATGATATCGTGTTGAAGCTGGAGCAGGACGTCCTGCGCCGACAGATGCGGGCGAAAGCCAAACATCGTGTCGGCAAAGGTCCTCCTGGCCTCCAAGTAGGCGGAAAGGCGTTGGCGAACCATGGTTTCCATGAGTTTGCCTGCGCAAGACGTAAGTGAGATGGGTATCAGTGCCTCAATACTAACGGACTTTGCCGATTTGGGAATGAATGTCACGACCGATGTGGTCCATTCCGTTGGAAGCGGAGAACCGTCCCATATCGAATTTATAAGGTGGAGTAGCGAGAGGTGTGCTTGGTCGGGAAGATTTGCCAGGAGCGATACTGTGATTCCGTCGCGTCCAGGGGCCATGCCCCGTCGCATTTTCGTAAGTGAAAATCGTAAATCAGAAAGCGTGTATGGGGCGTCGAGGTCGGTGTTAGGGGCGCCGGAATACGTATATGCTGGGCCTGCGGGATCAATTGTGCGGCCGATGTAGCGGTCACAAAGTTCTCGCGCGAGTTCATCCGTAGTGCCCTGAAAGGCATGCAGAACACGGTGGAGCTGGCGTTGCGTTTCTCTCCTGGTGGTTGAGGGATCGAGAAGGCTTCTAAAGAGTCGCCACGCACTCTTAGAGCTCATGTGGTTTGCAGCCTTCGAACAGGTGTCTGCCCAGTTAGCATCGGATAGTTGTGCGGAGTATGCGGATGTGAACGCTTTCACCTGTTTTCGAAGCCTCCAGGGTTCCACTGTATGATCTCGAATTTAGACGCAATGTTTGAACGGGACGTACGATTGGTAGCCATCGTGACTGTCTTAGGTTTTATATTTGGTCCTCCATGTCCCGCTCGGAATCCTCAGAGGCAGGGAGGGGCACGGAGGCCGGATCTTCCGAGGGCGGGGTGGTGGTAGCCACCTTACGACGACGCCGTGGAGCTGTACCCTCACTGCCCACCGAAGAGGAGCGGGGACGCGATGCCTTGGGTTGAAACTGGGTGACTGCCCAGGCTTGAATAGCCTGGGTAACCTCTACTACTATGCGTTGGACCGAGAAGCTGGTGAGGAGGTGATTAATCGAAGCTTGGACGCGCGTGAGGCGTTCCTCTACGCGCGAGGTGCGCTCTTCGCTAGGGAGAGTTTGGTTAGCGGGCAAAATAACCTGAGGTACCCCAGGAGCCTCAAGAGCTTCTGGAGTAGATGTGGCACCGGTTCCGAGTGCTGGAGTACACATGGCTGCTTGAACCGGCGGTTGAATGGGAGTGGACTTAGCGCGAGGACTAAGCTTGGACGTAGCTGGCGTAGCCGCCTGGACCGAGGAGGCAATACCTGATGGCCTTGCAGTACACTGTTGTTGGGGTTGAAGTCGCTTATTTAAGAGTTCGAGTTGTTTAGTTAAAAGAGAATTTTGCTTTTGAAGTGGCGCAACTTGCTGGCGAAGGGCCGCAAGTTCGGGAAAAGGAGGATCGACAGAAGGGGGTGAGAGAGGCTTAGAAGCAGCTTTCCCTGCCC